GCTCCTGCCTCTATCTAGAAGAATTTACTTCAGTGGAGTTAAGGTTCAGTTGAGAGCAGGTGCAGTGTGTGGGAAGAACATTTATTTAAACTCTTGTGGGCTTTTGAAAATAACAGTGAGAGAAGTACCCAGTGAAGCTCTCAGTAGTACTGTGCTGTGCAGTATTCTGCCGCATTCAGGGTGTCATGTCTCTGTTTTGGAGTGAGGAAGGAGAGCTGTACAAACCAGCTGTGTGTGCAAGAGGAGGGCAGATGGTCTTTGTTCAGCCAAGCCAAATGAAATGCATTCCGCAAATGTGCCATAGGATAAGAACAAGCTCCAGCTCAGGAAGTGGCACATATGTGAGAAGGAAAGATAGAGGGGGAAAAGAGCAGTCTTTGGTCAGAGAATTGCATTGCACCACAGTTTGTCATAAATGCTGAAGATGCAGATGATTTAAGTCCAAATATGAAAAGAACCATTTCTTGAGATGTGGCAGTTGTCATCAAAGCTACAATGGCTTCTAATTCAGCTTGTGTGGAAGGACTCTCCTGACCTGTGGGACAGATGCCTCTGCCCAAGCAGCTATTTCTCCTCCGCTCTAACTTGCAGCAGTTGTTCCTAATTGACTGACCTGCTGTCCTGTGGTCACAGCTCCTCCAGGAACAGCCCAGTGCCGGGGCTTGCACTGCTGGCACAGGAGCCAGGAGCTGCTGTTTGTGGTATGCACCACTGAGAGCAGTGCCCAAGCAACAGATCTACAGGCTTGGTTGGAAGGTGTGACTCATGCAGCACTGGGGTCTTACGAGATCAGCTATATTATGTTCTCTTCTTAGAGGCTACATTAGGACAGAGCTTTCTTTGTAAATATAGTAGTATGTATGTTGATACTACCTCTAAATATATACTGCATATTCCTGCCTCTCTTTATCTGGAAGAGAAGTTTTGCCATTTTGTGGCTAGTCTGCTGGTGCTATTTAAATAAGAGTGATATGTAAATAAAACTCTTAAACTTTTGAATGAAGTGTGATTTATAATAAGTCTTCTATGACTAAAACATCAAGCAGTTGCGGTGTTTTGGTGTTTTGTGTGTCCCTATTCCAACTGCTTACCTTTTCTATGCTTTGATCAAGTGCATCTGGCAAGTCTTAAAAAAAACTCTGAAAGTTTCTGAGGAAATAAGGGTGTTTCATCCTAGGTGCTGAAAACCACACAATCCTGTTTGGAAATGTGTAATTATTTCTTCAGTGAAAACCCCAAGCCCCACAGAATTTGCCTATTTAATTTTTTACTCACCTTTACCTCCAGAGTTCCTTACCCTCTGGCACATGAATTAATGTTCATGTCTGAGCTGAAGGACTGAAAAAACAATTTCCATTTCTGTTCTGGTTTTGTTTTTTTTTTCCCCCCAGCAGCCTTTTAACTTCAGCTAACTCATTCCGCTTCATAAGAGGTATAGGAAGGGTGGCAAGTCGCCATCTGTGCAGTATCTGGTGTTAGCTTGGTACTTTGAATACTGCTTTAGGAAAATAGTCGTTCCTTTAGTAAACCCACTCATTGTTTACTTTGGGGTAACTTTGTTAAAACTGGTGTTACAGTTGAAGAAGAAACACCTGCCAAGAAGGTGAGGTGTAGTATTTCTTTTTATTTTAGAATTCCAGGTCTTTCATTTATGAAGACATCATTAGTTGAAAACACCAAGGAGGATCTTATGTCAGATAATTAACCTCTGACAGTAGTTATCTTGGAACATATGATTCCAATAAAAAAAACCCAAACAAATGGTGACAGGGAAATATTTTTTAAAGCTACCAGGTCCTCCTAGGATAGTTAGCTATGTTGATATTTAAGTGTGTTTATATACCCACATGCCTTGGGACTGTTGTCTCCAACTAGAGAAGAAAAGCAGTGTGATTTGTGCATGAGCATGATAACAGCTGTACTTAAAAGGTGAAGTCCTGTTACTCTTACAAGGGAGTTGGCCTGAAGGAACTCAAGATTTCCTTGTGTAATAATTAGAGGCGGTAACTCAACTAGCCTGGTTTTTTTTCTAAAGGAAAAGAAGTACATTTCCTCTACAACTTAGTGATTATAAAACAATATTTCACTTTTCAGTGAGTTAAAATGTGTTAAGTGTCACTTAAATGCATTCCTCACTATAGAAAGTCTGAGAATGAATGTGAAAATCAGTCAGAAACTCCACTCAATTCCTAGGAATTTAAGTACATTGGCATGTACCTGCCTGGCCTGCCCTGGAAAACAAGTTTTCCTTGAGTGTTCTGAAGTATCACTTGAAGCTCCCCTGTGCAAGATCTTGAAGGATTTATCTCACATCTGTAGAAAGAAGAAAAAGGGGCTGAATTGGTTGCTGTGCTCCACTGACCACTTTGTTAAATGCAAGCCCTAATTACTTAGTTGGTTTGACAGAATGTTTATACCATTTTATTGTGAAAACCTCTAGGTATCAAGGGCTTTCAAGCAGCAGTACTCAGTTGTGTACAGGGTACCTTACGCTACCGAAGTCAAAACCTTACAAGTGTGTCTGCCCAAAACTTACAACACAATACTTCTGGTTTCTTCCTTTCTTTCCCCTTTGGACTTCTGAACCTTTAGAATATGCTGTGCTTTGTGAGGTTTCTCTGTAGCCACACGGTCTAGGTTTGTTTTAAGGCGAGCGGAGACTGCTTGCTTGATTGATTGATTGTAACTCCCTCCAATACCTGGATCGGACCCAAACCAGCGGCGGTCAGCAGGAGGAACTGTCTTCCCTCTGTCCAGCCATTCCTCTGTGTCATCGTGTGATCATCGTGTCCCAGCTCCTGCTCTCCTCTCAGACACGACGGCCTTGAAAATAAAACACACGAAGGGACGTCTGGCCCAGTCCCTCTGGCTAAGCTCTCCCCGCTTCATCCCGTCTCAGGCGTCCTTCCTTTTTGGAAGGAGGGGGCACCGCAGCCGCGGGGCCCTCAGGGTCGGTGCGGCGGGACCCGG